ATTTTATGTTCGATAATTATATATTAAAAATAATAATATTTTAGAAGTGCTGATACGTGTGGAAAATCCAGTGTATTGTCTATATTAAATATATATTATATATTTTTTATTTTACAAAATTATTCCAGTCCGCCGCGAACTTTGTGGAAAAATACAACCATCAGTTGTACAGGCCTACCGCGGCGGACTAGTATAGTCCGCCGCGGTAGGCCGCTGTCTGTTTAACCAGAATGATGCATTTAAATAGAGTACAGAGTCCGCGGCGGACCAGCGACCTGTCCGCGCGGACAGTCCGCTTTCTGTTTGACCGATCCTTTAATCATGGATATGTTATCAGATTAGAGATTCTCTTATCACTTATCTTTTGTTTTTATATTTCTTATCTCTAACTGAAAGTGAAAGTATAACGCGAAAATGACGACATGAATTTCTTGTACCCACCACAATTTAACATATTATCCATGTTAAAGTTATATTTTCCCTAAATGATTATTTCAGCAGCTTTTTTGTGTCTATGGTAAAAATAATCACAACAAAGAATTTGCCTCCAAAGTGTAACTTGTGGGCTTTCATTAGATATGTACATAATTTTAACATTGATAATAAACAATAAATATAATGCATAATAATATATAAGTATACACCTTGTCGGTGTTATAAATTACATTTACAGTAGTAGTGTGTTAATTATTTTGATCAATCAAATAGAGTGATGCTCACTTGATATTGTAGTTTGATGTTTGATTTTTGCATCCATTTTGGATTAGAACGAAAGGAACTGCTGAAAAGGGCACTTTACCCAAACCTATTCGGCCACCGGTAAAACTGTCTAATAGGTCTTGCGGTAAGGTACTTCAGTAGGTCTTCAGTACTTAAGTATGATTGTTACATATATACATAAATATATTTATTATTTTCGAGAGACCACGATCACAGCTTACTTGTGATACTGAAAGAGTATAAGAATTAACTTGTAGCCCGTGCAGAAGAGGGCAGGAAATTAAAGGGCAATGATATTATGGAAAGACCTGTTATTTTCAAACAACTTTTATCTAGGTTTATTCTAACTTAAAAATTGACCGAGTTTAAAATTTAGGACGGGAGGGAGGGGTGGAGTAAAGTGTTATTTTTATCTGCGCGCATTACTCAATCCTAAAAAAGCTTCCATCCTATATTTTAGAGGCTAGGTTAAGCTATTCGAAGTGCACGCCGTGTGTCTTTTTTTCTTTCTTTTTAAAAAAAACAGCCGTTGATCGTTTTATATAATTATAATGTATTTTTTTTTTGTTATGTACACACATACATTATACAATATATATATTATTATAATTATTATAAAGGTATAATGATAATATATTATTTATTATGTCACAATCGCGATAATATAATTACTCGTTATATTTTATAATATTATTAATATTATTACATAAAAAAATCACAAAAAACGATACGCGTGCATCATAAATATCCGCACAAACTTGTCTAGAGGCGTATAGGAACATTTATCGAGCCGAAACGGACTTGTGAATGGGATCGAGGGGAGGTTTAGGGGAGGAAAGAGGCGTTTCGGCACAAATGTAATTATTATAAAAAAAAAAAAAACAAATTCGTCGTGCGAATACTATTTTTGAGCGTACGCCTAGTGCGCATGCTATGCATAATACGTATACATATTATTATAATACATTTTGCAATATATAATAACAATATGTCATAAATATAATAATAATAATAATAAAAAAACAATTATACATACATAAATATAAAAAAAAAAAAAAGTTTGTAAGTGTACATAATATTATTATTATATATAAATAATGATAATTTAAATTAATAAATAGGCGACTATATATATATAGTTATATAAGACTTTTTTTTTTTTTTTTGAGGGTACGTTAAAGATCATACTGCACATATGTATATGATGTGTACATAAGTACTATACATATATAGTCGACCGTCGAACAACAAAAGTGGGTTTTAAGAATGTGACCTACCCGTCGATAGGGTCGTCGATGAAAATGTACAAAAATATTTACAAAAAAAAAAAAAATATATTTATATATATTATTTTTAAATATTTGTTTATATCTTAAATGTTTAATTATCACACATCTCCTCATTGGGCGTCGCACCACAGCTTTGATTGTTGCACTGTTGATTTTTTTTTTGAAATTTATCCGCGCTCGATACATTATAATTGTTATTGAATATTATTCTCCGTCTTATCTTTTCCAAGGTGGCTCGTCGCGGTTATCTCTCTATCTCTCTCTCTTTTTCTCTGTAACAATAATGCAATTGCACAACGTTAATAATATAATACGATTTTATAACATTGAGCCAACAGCTACCGCGGCATCGTTCCTCGGATAGCTATTATAATGATAATAATAATATCGTTACAAGTGGTAAGTTTATTTAAACAAATGCTAGTTGAGTGGACATTTCTTATATAGAACATATTATATAGGTATTTTTTTTCTTAAGTCGGATTAGGTAATAGTTACCCAACTCAATGGTCGGACACGCTAATAAGAGATGCGCAATTAAAGTCAAGATGATAATATACATATTTATTACGGCAATTATACAACTATTCTAACTGGTCAAGGAAGTATGTTTCCAGACGACCGGTTAAGGGAAGAATATGTCAAAATATGGAAAACGATTCATGCAATAACAAAAATAACTGTTACAGAAAAACAATACTTGGCAAGTTCGTTGTTTATAAATTATTACCTTTTTAAATTTAGCGGTACCGAATTTTTCTTTGTTCGTGTGACATTTAAAGGGGAGGAACAAGTCAATTCAGAAGGGTAAACTCAAACGTTTTAATTCCTTGGAATTGTTTAACTCTAGACAACGCAATGTAATCTTATTTTTTCTTCTATTTTTAAGATAACTTCTCTCGGTTTGTATTTATGTATCATAAACCACGAGACAGTGTAAATAATCTAAATCGCAGAATAGATAAATTCTGTGTTTACTCTAAAAGAGCGTGCGGAGCCTGATTTATATTTAATTTGGACATTATATTTTATCGTTATTCGCGGATGGCTTTTTTTCCCGAAACACGGCCCATCGTGCGAGCAACCGAAATACACGACTGTCGTACGCATTGCATATACTAGGCGATTCCCAGGGTTCAACGGCCGCGGGGTTAGGAAAATTTACGACCGTTTCCCGGCCGGGTCGTTTTTAATAATATAACGTCGTGGTGTGTGTGTGTGTATGTGCTTAAGCCCGGTTGTGGTCTGGCTAATATTGCTGTCGGTTGATAACGGGTGCATCTTAGACCGAACACGGCAGCGAGGAAGGGCGACGACCGACGATATTGATAATATAATGATAACAGTGTGTTGTTTGCCCTAAAAGCTGTTGACTCTAAGACAACAAAGGTGAACGCAGACGATGGTCCCGGGTCTGTTAATAATTTATGCGCGCAAGTCAACATTAAAAGGGAGGTGTAACTTTGAAGAAGTACACGTCAAACCGTCTTCATGCGAGAGTTTATGATGACGAAATTGTAAATTGCTCAATTTAAATTTGAAAACTAGGTTTTAACATCGGTTCAACACGAGGATAACATGCTGTGCTTATAACTGGACACATTTCATAAGTAGCCGACCACTTAGGCAACGCGCGTTGCATATAATATCACAATGGCTAAGCGTACACTTGTTGTAAGTCGACTTTTACAGAAAATACACTTTTTCATACCAATTGATAAATAGTTCTTTAAATGTCAAATTTATATTTGTTGTGATATTTACATTTACAATGAAAACTTTCTTGTACAATCTTATTAAAAGTAAAAAAAAAGTTTGAATTTGTGCTCTACTGAACAATTTCATTTCCAACAAGTGTGCACTAGGGCATCGATATCGAGTTCAGTAGTTCGCGTTGGTAAGTTTTTTTCTTTAAAATAATCTACGTGAAACGTTTACAAAAATACAGACGGAAAAAAGTTGCACTGGCAGTAAACGAAGATGTTGTTTGTGAAACTTTCTGAACAAAAAATTTTCTTTTCGGCTGCCAAAAAAGAAACCCCTCGTTTCAAGGATACGCTGGTGATGGTCAAATTGTATTTTATTTGTTTTTTTTTTACTATAGAACTCTATTGACACAACTCTTCTGGTCGAAAAAAATCAGGAAATTCAATTTCGCCCGCAAACTGGGTCACGGTTAAGTTTAACTTTTCGGTCGGAACGGCCAAAAAGTAATCCGGCTAACCCGGAATCAATTTATATAGGTATATAGTGTAATTTATACTTGATTTACTTAGCTCGGTGTCCAACAGACGTGTATTGAAAATAAACAGCAAATTCAATTGAACACCGTCGGTGACTACAATATTTTTTCGGGTCTTTTAAAATAGGGTCGAGGCGATTTCAATCGATACCCCACCAAATTGACTCGAGATTGGATTTAAAAATGAAAAATCCACTATAAAGGGTTAACAATTTTACGCTTTTAAAAAAATTGTCTGAGCAAAATCCGTTGAAAAAGTTAATTACGCTGTGATTATATATGAAACCCTACACAGCATGTTGTAATAACACTGCGTTGTTTGGGTAAATGGGAGATAAGTCTAAGTTTGGCACTATGGAAATTGTAAACTATATTACCACATCAAAAGGACAATCATTTTAAAATCAGCCATCTACAACAAATTGTAATGAAAATTAAAAACAACATTTTTTTTCTTGTTGCCCTTTTTTCTCATTATTTTCATTGACTTATAACCAAAATCACAAATACCATTGACAAAAACTAGTCATGTCAAATATGAGTGTAATATGTGTGTGCATATCCTCTTTAAGGGACGACCTACATCACATATTATGAATATTAAGGTTTAAAATCATCCTACATATGTAATAGAAAATGTCTGACTTATCACGTTATGGGCAAACGTGCATAATTTTGTTTAAATACATAATATCAAACTAATGATTCCAAATTTAACTAATGACTCCTCAGGGTTTTGCGGTATTCACCTTGTTACAGATGATTTTCGACATTGGAAATCGAAAAGCCTTTGCCGCCCAGTCCGAACTCGGTGTTTTTGAATCCTCCGTTTTCTATGCCGGCCAACGTGTGGTTGTTGGTTTTCTTTTGCTTCTTCTTTCCCATGAACAATATGTTTATACCGAACATCACCGAACCTAAAAATTATTGAAAAAGAATAATAGATATAAATATATTATAGAAAATCGTACATCCGCATTAGGGAGGTATTAACACCCCCCGCCCCCCGTTCTTATTAACCCTAGGCCCTATAATGTATAAGGCCTGTAGAAAGTAGAAAGCATAGAATTTTACAAATCACTTGTATAATAATAATAATATAATTTAACGGTTACACGTAGAGAAAACGTACGCTTTTATAGGTTATTCTTATTGCCTAATATACATATTAAAAGAAAATGAAAATAGCAATCAATAAAAATCTCAACGTGTTAGTAGGTGGTACTTATTATTAATAAAAACTTAATTATCGGTAAAAAATTGCGTTAAAGGCAAAACATAATGTTGTGAATTGGTTTACACGTCTAAAATATAAAATCAAATTATACCGAACCAGTTTTGTTTATCAATTTTTTATTTTCTACGGCGCTACTCGTTATTTATTGATGTGGTTAATTTTTCTAATATATATATATATATATATCGGTTAAGTTACTCTGGATAACGTTTAAAATCGTTAAACTATCATTATATATTATAAAAAGGCGTTATTTTTTAATGAAAACACTTTGAAAAAAAAAATGAGAAAAACCAGACAATTATTAGTTTGCAACTAAAACATTTGGACACGCCTACCTGAGATTATTAAAGTCTGTGGTGTTATACTTACTGAGCAAGTAGAAACCCGCGTAGAAGATGGCCAGCGCCGTTTTGTAGTCGTACGCCTTTCTCACCGGTTCTACGAACATAGGAACGTTACCGCCAAAGTTGTTCATCCAGAAAAGAAAAGCGCCCACCGTGGTCGACCGGACAGACATTGGCACGGATTCCACGAGAATGGCGAACAAGATACCGAACCACATTTCAGCTGTTGGACACCACAGGGACAGTGGTTAGACAGTAGGTAGGTACAAAGAGATTATATTACACATGTCATGACTGCGTGTCGACTTACCGAACAAATAGGATATGGCCAGTGTGACCATTGCGCCGAAAGGTCCCAAGTAAATGCTTCCATAAGCGAAAGGCGTGGAGATCAACTGCAATGATACATTAAAATATAATCGATATCGACAACAATTTCGATAGTTGAAATACAACTCGCGTCTAAACTCGATTCAATTCGAATTTAAACGATAGACGTCCATTTCAACATTTAATTGCAACACTGCGATTAAGAAAGTATTACAGCTATGCCGTTGCAATAAATATAAATCGTCTACAAGCTTTATAGCATTACACAAATGATCGCAACACTCGATTATAACGTTGCAAATGTGAATCTTTGTTGCAATTAGCTGTACAGTCCTTACAGTTTCAAATCGTATAAACCAAAGTTGGTCGAGTAATCAGTCAAGCACTATCGAGCATGTTCCTTAACACTATTCTTCCCAGTTATAGCTTATTAAATACGATCACAGCCTCTGTAGCTAACCGGCCAAAGGTAATAAATCCTAATTCGGATCTCTGCGACCCAGGCAAAACGGATACGCTGTCTAAGTTAAATAGTTAGATAAGTAAACTGCCAAACGAAGAAGCGGTTAATGCAAATCCGATAGCGCACACCCGTTTGCCAAAATTGATTGATGAGTATGCAATTAATTATAACATCACAATAATACAGTCGTTATTGCGATACGCCATAGCAGTGTACTATAACATTATGTAATTATTATTGTTGTTGTTGTTCTGTCGGTTCGCACCATTAGGTGACTAATAGTATGATAAACGGTTTCGGTGTAACCCGACCACCTGCCCGTGCCGGTGTACTTTGTTTGCTGGGTCTAATATTTGCATATCATAGAAAAACCCACCGACTGCTACGGGGAATTTCGCTCGACAACAGTGTATTATTAGATCTGAACGTTATCGTACCTGACTGATAGCCAGCACGGCCACACGAGATCTCATCCCGTATTTCTTTACTATACTGTCCGAAGTGATACCGCCGACAACCACGCCGATGCTGCCCACCAAGAACGTGACCACGAACAAGGACCATCCCATGTCGTAGCCGGGGAAGATGTCGCGGTAAAACAGATCCGCGTTGTAGGCGAAACAAAATCCTCCTAAAAAGGGTAGGAAAAAAAAACACATTGTGTTATACACTAAACGCAAGACGCGTACTCTGGCTGGTAAAAAGCATACCCGTGTGTCTTATGGAAGCGGCGATACAGAGGATCAAGATTTTCGGTTGGAACAGAACTTTCCAAATGCTGACCTTTTCCGCGCTCTCGGGATTGGCAGCACCGTTGCCGGGCGTTGTGTTGGCAACACTGACGTTATTGTGTTCCGCGCCGGGTTTGGCCACTTCGGTAGCCACCGCTTCTTCTTCAGTCTCATCGCTAATCACAGTCCTCTTTGGCTCTTTCATGGTGGTGATGGCTAAAGCTGCCACGATCACTCCGATCATTCCACTCAAGTAGTATGGCACTCTCCAACTCTGTCGGGATGTCGATAATAATAATTATTTCATATTAATCATAATATACAAATAATGGGATCTGTCTAATTTCTCAGGGAATCTCTTTGTCCTCTTGAAACCCCCTCCCAACGGATAGAACTGTTTCCGGCTATGCGTACTTATCGAAGCGATCTATGAGAATAACCGGAAAAACAGTGATCTATACCACAGTTGAGGTTAAGGTTATGTCGGTGAACGTGTGAGGTTAAGTTAACTCTATTGACTCCAAGAGTAATCATTCATAATTGATTGCTGGCCAGTCAATTGGGTTTAAAAGTTACAAAATAACAAGCCAGAGAATCGAATTCAACGGCCTTCGTTAAATCGATCATCCAGTAGAACTAGTTGCAAGGATAATTATTTTTAAAATCTTACCAATCCACCGATGTTCATCTCGGTGACGTACCGACCGACGGGGAAAGCCAAACCGATACCAGCGTAGATTCCCCAGTTGAAGATGGCCATAACCAATCCTCTCTTATCCTACAAACAACAACATAATTATACATTAATACAAACAATCCGACGCTACGATATTCCAATGAATCATTCAAAACGCGTTTCTTGAAACCGGTCCAATTTTTTTTTTTTTTTTACCGTACTATCATTTACAAGGCGGGCCATTAAACACCAAATGATTTGTATTGAAAAATCCAACGCGTTTTTGAGGGTACGACGATTATTGCAAAACACGTTTTCGTTAACGACTTCCAAAAATTCAATTTAAAAGACAATTGGTTAGCATTGGGAATAATAATAATAAAAAAGGAACCAGTAACCGATTTCCGCATTGTACACGGCTGGAAATATCATAAGACAAGCCTACACATATTCAAGCTTTTGGTGGGTACAGATTTATGCAAAAACGGTGACCATGCTTACTTCAGAAAACAAGTCCGACAGTATTCCGGTGGACAAAGGATTGGTACCAGCCTCGCTGTAAGAATGAAAAGTACAAAATATTTAATATTATAATTATTAATCGTCGAGGCGAGCAGGTTGTCCGTTGCTTTATATCGTTCGACAGTACTTACCCAACAGCAAGCAAAATTCTAAGGAGTATCAAATGCCAGTAACTGGTAGCTGCTCCGATCAGACCAATGGCCGTCGCGCTGATCAACGTGCACAGGGACAACAGACGAACCCTGTATATTAAACAAATTAAATTAATAAACATACACAGTGTTTTAATACAAAACAAAAAAATCATTAGCAAAGGTTAGAGTCACTGGTCACATGTTTTACAGAATGTATACAGCTATTTAATAAATATAAGCTCTAGGAGCTACTCCGGAAATTATGAATGAAAAAAAAAATAAAAGATTTGGAAATGTTATTGAACATTCAGAGCATTTGATACTCATAATATGTGGTGCCAGCGAAATCTCTCCGAGAACAGTTAAACCAAGTTGAAGGATAATGCAGATTCTAGATAGCAATCTATTATGAAGAATTACATCAAATTTTATTGTGTTAGCCTTAATCGTTCTAACACACTACTAGACATGTTCAAAAAGATCAAAGTGTAGGCTTTCCTGTTTACGGCTGGACTTTTATATGATCCATCTAAATTGGAGCTTTTTTGGGGTCCACAATTTTGTATTGAAATTAGTATTATAATTTCATGTTGGACTAATCGTAAAAAATGCGTCAAGATTGCATTCATCAAGATGGAATTACATTGCTTGTCTTGAGAAATGTGATTAATAAAAAAACTATTAACGAGGTTAGAATAGAGCTGTTGGATTTAGTCCAGTTCATCATTAAAATATTGTGAACCCAAAACAAAATTTCTATAAAACCCAGAAAATAATAGGTTTTTTTAAAATTAAATAAGAAACAATAACTCAATAGACTCCAGCAAACATGTATCTAATATTAGTTCAGTTAATCTTGCCAACGAATTAGCCTGTTGTTTAGCTACTATAGTTTTTAGTATGATAGTTATATGACCAGAAACCAATAAATGTCGTGATTGCTTACCTGTTGAACTTGTCAGCTGCGATTCCAAAACCGATTCCGCATATCGAGTAAACCGCAATGAACGCCGGACCTGCCAACAGTTGATATTCGAAACCGAGACCGTTGTAGTTCCATTCACAGTACTTCGAACCGTCGTCCAGGGTCAACGATTCACACCTATTAAACACACATTGTTCACTATTAATATTGAATGATTCAAATCCATCAACGTCGTCTCCTAATCTACCTCTAATGGTCTCGCATTGCTCTTGTTGTTAGAGCGCCTAAGCCATTGCCAAATATTTGGGTACGTTTTAACTACCTACTTTAAGATGGATATTGAATCTGGAGAAATACATGCGTGGTAAATAAAAACATGAAAGAACAGAGCACGTAGGTCGCACTTTCATATTCTGTTTATTCATAAAGCGGACATTACTCTTAGAATTACAATATAAATTGGTCAGCTAAACAAACGTTATTGTTATTAGTTTATCCTTAACAAATTAATTCTGTGTTTATTTTATTTTGTTCAAAACCAAAAGACTGGTATGCATTTTTTTATACAGTGACAAATGTGCAGCACATAAAGCAGGGTCGAGCAGCCGTTAAAAAACTCTTGAACCCGCCAAATACATAAAAACGAATGACCGTCAGTAACATTTCTGAATATTATCGACAAGGTTACCGGTTTAAACGGTGCCCGAAGAGCATTCGGTTTTGAACAATAACAGTTTCATTTGTATCTATTGTCTGTGGCGAATGACAACAACAATAAAATACAACAATGATGACTTTTATTGTAAAATGTTTTGGCAAAATCACAATTACGCTGCCTAATCGATAATGTGATTTGATTTTTTTAGACCTTTTTGCAGACCGGATTGTCGGGTGAAATTACTAACAGGTATCTAAGTATAAAATGAGCCCTTCAAAAGAAAAGTGGTGTAAATCAGTTTGTTTGTCAATGTTTGAATATGGATTTACGTCATAATTCACAAATTTCAAAAATATTTTACATACACCACTTTGCTTTTGATCGGCTTATTAATACTATGTTAACTCTCTTAAATGTATTAAGTAACTAATCATTGTCCATCTATTTGCCTAACTCGACCTAACCAAATTAAACGTTGAATTTAGTTTTAAAATTAAGTTAGCCTAGTTAAACTTTCATAATAAGAACCTAATAAATTAATTTAAGTTAATTCTGAAATAAAATCAATTTACCTATGTTATATGCTTTGACTTTTAAAATATCGTCAATTGAGTATATGCGATAACTGGCCAACACTAAAATGTCCTAAATCACTTATACTGCATAATTTTTTAACGCTTAATGTACAACCTTGTAAACACAAAAGCAATGTGAATTGCGACAAATAAAATACTTAATTTTGGAATTATTTAACATGCCAACATAGATATAATATACTCTTAGAGCCATTGCCGATAACTCGTCCAGCCTTGGCCATAACCGTCTTCGAATCTCTTAATCTTGTAATTTGTTATTCGTCGGAGAACAATATCTCTCGGTTGCAGAAGATAAGCTTAATATCGTGTAATTTTTACAAAACAGACCAGAAGGGGAGTGGGGGTGATTAGCCTCCTTAACCTCTCTGCGCCCAGCGGTTCGGTATGAGTTGTAGAGGAGATAAGAAAAAAATATGTATACCTATATAAAAAATAATAAGAAAAAAGTAAACGGTCTAATGCGCCGGTTCGTTATTGAAGTGTCCGTCCGCGTTGCCCGTGAAAATGTATGTATTTATTTTTTCATCGCGTTACCTGTGTATATGTATGTATTTTAATAGGTAACAACCGCTATGTAATATGTAAGTCGGAACGTTTAAGGTCGTATACTTGATCGCGTATATTATATATATACCATATTATTTAATAATGTTATTCTTAATAGCTACACACACACTGGCAGTTAATTGAACGCGAACGAGCTGCTTACAAACGGCCTACAGGACACGCGCAGTGCGCATGCATATAATATGAAATAATAATAATAACTTAAGAGTAATTATCAGCGTCGGTTGTAATAATTGTTCTTAGCTTCGATGCGAGAGCTCGAACCGAGAAGATATTGTTATGTAATTTTGTGTCTAGACCGGCAACTCTATGGATCAGAAATCGTACCCGAAAGGTACTTTACTGCACCAAAAATTTAATAAGGTCACCCCTTTCCCCTTCAAAACCGAGAAAAACGCACAATAAATTCTATCATAAATCCTTTTCCCTAAAAAGGGTGGAAACTTTTTCATTATTTTTCTAGTAAAGTTTTAGGACTTTAGGTCTAAAAATTAGACCTAAGGTTGATCTAGTGTGGGGCTATAACGTATACGATTTTCACAAGAATCTGTAAACTAAATGTATTTTTATTAAAGAAAAACCCTCCCAAAAAAAAAGGGAAAATTTTCACTTTGACAGCAGTAAATTTTTTAAGTTGTAATTGAGTCAGTCAACAGCACCCTGATACTTTATAAATACATTTTCAGACACATTATGGCTTTTACAATGCTTTTGTATTTCTAAACCATTTCGGATTCGCATCGAAGCGTTTATTGGAGAGTGATTTTATCACCTTCAGTTTGTAAATAATTAATATAGACCCGTGACCTCTCCCCCCCCCAATATGCTCCCTCCCCACTACTATGGGGCCCGACCCCACCGCACTGGCTTTTTACTAAAATGGGTTTTATCTTTTAGACCTTTTCTTCTTCTGTAATTAATGTATTATGTCTAGGTTTATTATAGTAGTGGTGGGCTCACGATAACTGGTCCGGAGACGTGTCGCAGCGACTGTGTAACGTGTAATTGAACACGGACGATTCGGCGAGTTGTTCGAGCAACTGACATTTGATGTCGCCGTAGTGCACGTCCCTGGCCGTCGCCTTGCTGGTCACTCCGATCATGAAATGTCCCATTTCCGACGTCAGATAGCCCAACGTGAGGATGGTGAGAACGTACGCTTTGTACAGAAAACCCAACTTCTTGATGTACGAATACATGATGATGACGGTAATTCAATGAAATCCTGCAACACGAAAAATTACTATTATAAATCGTCGCCATCGTAGTTTAACGACGTTGGCCAGTAAGTAAGTATACACGCGATATTGACCTACAAGCTGGATCGCCGAATAGCCGTCCCTCTTTCTCTCCCTCTCTCTCACTCGCTCGCTCTCTGCCTGTCTGACTGTATGTCTGTCTGTCTGTCTCTAACAAAAGAACACCACTCTGCTTGGACGAAAATATTTTATATTTTCATGGCGTGTGTACACACAGACCGGGTCGGCCGACTGACCGACGATTGTCCACCGTGTCGTTGTTATGTCCATTACGATTTAGCCGCGAGGAACGTCGCCAAACTAGTTTTCCCCGAGCGCGCTTATCGCCCGAGTCAACCGTGTGAGCGGCGGTTCCATGTTGTTGTGTTTACGTGCAAAAATCAAGGTCACGCACAAACGTGAATGGAATCGAATTCAACATATATATCACGTATTTGTATATTATATAAGTACACATGTATAACATATATATATATATCTCAAGTTGTCTGGCTTGCCGTTTGGAGGGTAGTTTCGAAAATTCAAAGTCAAAACCGTATATCCGTTTTTTTGCGGATCCACCGAACCTTGGGCCGGGAGGTGAACCGGACGATATAATATATTATTGTATGTATTTTGTTTACGGTCAAACGTAAACTCAAATATCTTCTAAACGATTTAAAAAACGTCATATTTTATAGTAAGATTACAGAGTTGACGGAAGCGTTTTTTTTGTTATCCTTGCCCGAGGTCATGTCAAGTTAGGTGTGGGGTCGTTTTGGAAAGAACGCGCCACACGTGGACTTCGATTTAAACGAAGAATCTCATTCCAAAAAAAATACATAAACCCAGGTATTTACAAGTTACTTACTGTAAACCCTTGTTAACAGTCATGTAGATCATTTTTTTGGAGGTATTCAATCCCCCACCCCTTTGCCGAATAAGCAGGACTCGTGTGAGTCGGGGGCGTTCGACTTTCAAAACATCAGCAATTCTTTTAAATGTGTGTTCAACAATAATAATTTAACTAGTACTATTAGGTAGGTTTAATAGTGTTATTTGAATTATCCATAATCGTTATTACACTGATTATTTATTTTCATTAGATTTAGGAAAATGAATTATATAATATGTTTTTTAACGCATTCACTTGTGAAGTAAATGTTGACTGTGAGTGCGTTCGTTGAATCGGTCGAAAAATGGAATCGAATTTGTTTTAATAAGAAAATATGTTCCAAACACTAGGAAAGGTTAGGTTATTTCGGAAATAATATTTCCTTATCTTATGATTAGAATGTTTGTCTAAATAAACAATTATTTTAGTTAAAATTTGAACATTTATTCAAATATTTTTTTATTAATTTATTGAATTTGTTAAGTGATAAAAAGGTATTTATTACTTTAGTTCTTATTGAAATCCAAAATTATTTAAACAATAGAACCATAGCCAGTTAACGCGATAACATAGGATGATTCATTTGAGATAAAACATTCATTTTCTCTTAAAACAATAGCAATTTTATAGTTTTTTCCTAGGGGGGGGGGCACATTAGTTTAGTATGTTATTTTACAATATTAGACAGTATTCAAATTGTTATCCTTTCAATTTTTTTCAAAGCTCTATCAACTGTTCAAACTTAAACGGTAACGTAACAATATATTTAGTTAACTTTTTACATTAAAAGTAATTTGCTAAAAATTTTGATTGATTTTGAATTGTTTTGAATAATTACTTTTAAAATTATAAAATTTTATCCTTAACCATAAGGATACCACACTGTTTCATTTGGTTATGTTGGAAGATTTTTGTAATGTAGGGAAAGAGTATTATTCATAAAAATGATTTTTTTCTTTTCCCAAGCATTTGAATATGTATTAATTGTTTTTTAGACAGTACACGTGAATATCAGGCCTTTTTATCAATAATTGCATGTATTTATTAATCAATTCCATGCAATTAGTTTTGGTGCTGAAACGGTCACTTTAATTTACTACAATGGCATAATAATATGTATTATTTGGTAGGTAAATCATAAATTGAAACTAAATTAAATAAAAAACTTACATTGATGTTAGTTTTTATGGTTTTTTTTTTGAAACAGTTGTAATTTTTTTATTTGAAAAAATTTTAGAGAAAAAGCAACGTGATGTCCTGGGGAACATAGTTCTCTTTGAATTTTGGTACTTACGTGTTTAAACTCTAATTTTATCCCAAACGTTTAATTAAAATTCTAAGTAACATGGTTATGTTGCCAGTTGATGAAGCACAGATTAGATAAAACCAAATGTGCACTTCCTATTGAAGCAATGTAGATGCTGAAAATGTAAACATACAAACCAAAACCCTCCTGGACTCGGAGTAACCACTGATAGAGAGAAAAATTCTTTATGATATATTATTGTTTCAGTACCTAGCATCACTGATTTTATCGATTTTTATCGCAGATGTAGTGTACAAATTTGTATTAAATATTCAAATTATTTTCATTGCCTTATTTTAGTAAAATGTTCATATTTTCTAAAATATGTCGGTCGCACCATGTCGTGGAGGGTTTCGGTTATCAGTCAACGACCAACACCTGCACCATTTGGTTTCATTCGATCCGCGCTTTAAGTGAGGTGCCCAAGTATAAGTCGGCCCCCCCCCGCGCAAAAACACCCCCCTATTTTGAGCCACCGTCGTTGGCCAGCTTTATGTTTGCGGTAGGTACTCTTGACGTGCCCGCTGGTAAGACCTACGGCGCGGCGCGGACCGGCAACGAACAAAAAGGGAAAACAATTAATATTATTATTATTATCGCGATGACACAGTTAGATTGTAATAATGAACCGTGTGTTTTGCGCCGGCGACTGCCATTAAAAACCGAAAACCCAAGTTCATCGGAATCAGTCGTGTGTGTCTTCTGCTCGTGTGTAAGGTAGGTAAGTAGGTAGGTACATATATATATATATATACACGTTGAGGTTATTCGGTTTTTTTACTTTTACTTTTTAATATTGTTTTTTCCCTGTTACCGAGTCTATTGTTATAATACCGACCGACACGCACACATACGTCGCGGATTCCTGTCGAAGGAAGTACCTAATAATAATAATACAATATTTATATTATTGTCGACGACCGTTTACATTAATAAATAGCGATTAACAACAATTAAAAAAAAAAACAGTTTACAGGCAGCGTTGTATACGTCGATGGCCGAGATCTGTGGCGGATTCTGCGAGACCTGCTGGTGGTAAACTCTTGCGGCGTCCTTGGGCCGCGGTCGTGAGTTCCGCGTTTGAAAAAAAATCCGCCTTAATCCGGTTAGGTTAGATGTTAAAATGAAATATTTTAGTATCGAGCCTATTCGAAAGTAGAAAAAAACAAATTTTCTACAGAATTTCCCATAGTTGTTGTGTTGGATATGGCTAAAAAACGCGTCGGCCAAACCAAAATCGCCACCACCCGTCCGTGTCACGCTGTAGATATGATATTATTATTGTGTATATATGGCAATTGTTTAACATTGACATTCAAATCCGATAATAATTTTTATATATATTATAACTGAACAAAATCATCCACCGAAACAAGTTTGCCAAACCGGGTCCCCCCAGTTTACTCAAAACAATTGTACTTATGAGTTCCTCTAAAAAACCGGTCTAAATCCGTTTATGTTTTCCATAGTACATTCTTCGTATAATACAAACTAAAATTTACATAATATAGACAACAGCTGTTGCTGTAGGTACACAGTATCAGGGGCGGATACAAGTGGAGGTGGGCTATAGGGACTGGATCTCCTTTATGTACATTAATTGTTTATTTTTATATTTAATTTTAATAATATAGTAAACAAAAATGTTCAATATGCAAACTCTATGACTAGTGTTTATACTTTTATAGTGCATTTCTTTTTTTTTGTATTTTTTTCTAGCTCCTTCCTTTATTCATTCTTAGATTCGCCCCTACATAATATAACCTAACCTAACTGTTTCAGACCGATAACTGTTAAAAAAACAAAGCGAAAATTTTTAGTCAACATAAACTACAAGCCATTTTCCATATAAAGATAATATTTAACTTATAGTTTTACCTACTCAATGAAACTTGATGGTTTTTGGGGAAATGGAAATTCTAATTTTTTTTTTTAAAGGCTTAACAATATTTTTTAATGTTATTTTTTTTTTGTTCGTCCGTTTGAATACAATATGAATAAATGTATATATTGTTTTCTCAATATTATATCAATATAATGTTTAAGAACCTGTACAAATTTATTTATACTACACTTATTAATTAATAAATAAACAGTTTCATGATTAATATTTCATGTATCCAAATTCCCCCCACCAAAAAAAAAGTTCTACTATTTTTTAAATTCTTAAATAGCTCGATATTAATAGTTTTATTAACGGGTCAATAGCCAAGTATTGTTAATTGTTTTTAAAAGCAAAACTAAAAAATTAAAACATTTATTAAAAAAAATGCGTGTAATTTTTTTCAAAATCATTGTAGTAATTTAAATATTTTTGAATGGCTAAAACGACATTTTGTGAAATTTTAAAATTTTAACACTCTGAGGTAGGAATGTTTAAAATGTGTTTGTTTAAATATAATCAATAGAAAAACACCTAAAAAAAAAAAAAAAACATTTATCCTGCCCTAGACATGCTCTAAACTGGTGATAGATATACTAATCTCTATTGCACAGTGCACACTGTTGTGATTCTCTATTATAATATGTAATAAACGGGCATTACAGTTTGTTTTTATTTATGTATTATTTTGCCAAAGTGATAAAACCGAAGGACGTCTCCCGTTCTCGGCTCTTAATTGTAATGGAAAACCGTGACGACTATAAACACACCTATAACAGTTTTTAATGATAACTGATTATTCATTGCCCGCTGGAACCCAAATGTCATCTTGGTTTTCTCCATAAACGCGTTATCATCAAAAAACGGTACACTTAATTTTGACAGTTCAATTACACACACATAAGCACTAATTAAAACTATAATTATGGGACGACCGAATTTTTTTTCAGGGATAACCGCTAAGCCCAGTTCAAATACCGGTCAGTGGGTAGTGTTATTATTATTATTTCCAAATAATACAATAGCCAAATGGCTCTTGATGATTTAAAAAAAAAACACTCAGTCATTTTTATATATCTGAGGCTTGGGTCAAGAAGGACCAATGTCACTTCATGAAAAGTTTGGCAAAAAGCTTTAAAGTTTTTATTTTGCTTAAGTTTTCGTCTACTCTTAATAATTATACATTTTTTTAAATAATAAACTTAGAACTATGATTTTTGTTGGACTATATAGAGCGTTTAATTATGTACATAATGGGTATTTTAACTAATTTTGACCAAAATTTGAGATTTGCCCTTATTGAATCAAGCCACAAATATATTATAGTGAAAATAACATATGTATATTGTACACATATATATATAATTATAATTAATAGTCATAACGGTACAAATCACTTACTTTGGAGCGGGGAGAGTTTGTTTTTTTAGTTTTTCAATATTGTTCGGTCCTAACGACGACGATATCGTTGTCTTGAGTACAACATTTTCTAAAAAATCCAAATCAGAAACGCGAAAATCTGCTCATTTAAATCTCTATAACGGATACGCGGGAAACGCTTACGATATAATTATTATTCTTATTAATTAATTAACGAACAAACCGAACAAACGTGTTCCGGCCACCGGACTGGTATTTATCAAATAAAGTTGATTATTTTACAGGTTGTAATGCGTCTGTGTGTGTGTAGTACTACCACCACACACACACACATACATACACACAGACAGACAGACAAGACAAGACACATTGATCGTTTGGCGACGAAAAGTGTCGTCCTCCTTGTATCCAATTGGGGACGAATATGTATATAAATATGTGTGTGTGTATATATACATATTATTTAACCGTGTGTGTGTGCACGCACGTTGATAATTTATTATTATTATTATTATTTTTCTTTGATAGCATTCCGAGTCAAGGACCATTACCGGTAGGTATTGTCTTATTCATATTAGTTTTTTGTACGTTTTACGTATACCCATTATGTACATATATATAAAATATATATTATTATAAAGACGAACAGCTGAGATTGTAAATATTGTCGATTCACCGGGGACTTGATAATTTTTTTTGTCGTTAAAAATTTTGTTTTTTTTTCACTACTTTTTCCCATTCCTACGCGGCCGAGAAGGTTTTTCTCGGCGCAACCACTATCTCTTTATTGACAGACACACTCTCATATTATATACCGTTGTTGTTGTTGTTATTATTACTATTGTGTGTAAAACGTACCCCTTGTTTTATAAGTTAAAATATTTATTCGCTTCTTGCACCAATGCTACGACGACCTGTTGCCCGCGTTTGTCGATATCCGCTCTTGTTTTCACTGCTTCCGGTCAATCTGGACACGCCGAATAACCCGGCAACGATAATTTAGAGCGTTATTATTATTATTTAACCCACAGCGGGCGACCGTTCTTCGAACTAGGAATTAAAATTCGAAAAATTCGCCAAAAACGCTACGGGTGTATGATAATAATATTAGAAAATTGCAACAAAAAAAAAAACGGCAAGTCGGATTAAAACGCGCACTTTTTTTTTTTACACTTTTCTTATATTTTATTATTAATAGGTAATCGCCAAACGGCGGCAACGGTCCGTCGGATACTGATGCCGGTCGGGATGCGCGGATCCAATATAAAACCTCGGCGGGTTCTGCCTAACGCGGACCTTGTCCCCTCACCAGACGCCGCGGCGATTGACGGTCGCCACCGCCGCGCGGTTCGGTTTTTCAAGGGCAACGGTTGTGTACCTGCATGACGTTCTTCGTCGGGGGGATATTGCCGCCGCCGTTTCCCCCTAATTGACTTGAGTCATTTTTTAGTTTGTTTTGTTTTCCTACTTCTACCACACGGCCCACAGCGAGTCATTTACTTGGGTTTGTGCTTCTTTTCCGTCTTATTCGAGCGAGTCTTACACCTCCATCACCCCACCCCCCCGGCTAGACCTGTCCGGGGAAAAACCGGTAACGCCATGATCGCACGTGCCGGCTGTCGGGCTTGACCGGAAATTTTTAATTATTTTTATTAGCATCGCATTTAGAGCTTGCCTACCCTTCCTTCACCTGCTGTCTAAACGTCTAAATTCCCGGGAAATCCCCCCAGGAAGCTATCCCGGAATCAACAAGATCCTTCCCGTGGTATTTCGGATGTTGATCCTTTTAAAATATCCTCAATTCCCGCTCTGTCCCGATTCATACTGTGAATGAGATATGATTTTTTTTATCAATATCATGAATACCATACTAAGACAGATACATATTAGTAAAGAACACAAACTGTGTATGAATATTTGTGTGTATAAATTTGTAAGAGTAAATATACATTCAGGCGCAAACTGAGAGCATGGTATACCATATTAATAATGAATAATTGTTTACAACCTGCCTAATATGCTTAACTGGATGTGGCTCTACTAGCCAAATAACTGTAGTCTAGTGTAACTATTTAAAGTGTAAAACCAAAAATGTATACTTCATCAGTCGTGGGTATCAAAGAATCCAAGTAGTCTAATTTCTTCATAAAAACCATAGCACCTCGACCGGAAATCGTACTTGACCTGACACAGAGCAATCGATAGGTGGCAACAAAATAATTGGTCATAGGTGTTAGAAGCCTAATGAAATGTTTATTACAGCTCTCAAACTGTACTGTGAATGGAGCATCGCAAAAAAAAAGGCTTTTTGAAAAACATATAATATATATATGTCCAACAACGATCATTCGATAAACGGGACGAAATTGTTTCACCAAAACAACTAAAAAAAATATGAAAACTTTTTCATTATTATTTTTGTTTTAACTAGACCGCGTTGTTGTCAAAATACAATAAACGCAGAACCAGACTAGAAAGTAATATGCATTTAGTTTGTTCACATAAACCTTGAATGTCCATACTTAGATAAATACAGTTATTGTCATTTAAGTATAACAAGTCCGTTCGTTATTTTTAGTAAAATGTTATTGAAAAATCGGTTTAGATATTTTATCTTCGAGATGAAATAAGTTATTTTTTCATTGTTACATAACGTTTGATCTTATTCGATTTGTATCGAATTACAATGTCGTTATTAAAAAAAACAGCTGAAATTGAAACACTCTATGATTGGCTATTTTTGAGCAACAATATTATTGGCACACAATATTATCATTTTACAGATTTCAATTCTACTGGCTAAGACTATTTCTTTTTCTTCTTCTTTCCTTCTCCGCCTCATCCCTTGCAAGTTCTTTGCCGCTCTAATCCTCTCTCTATCTATATCTTTTTTAATTTGTCTAATCTAATTAAATTCCTCCATATTCAATCTTCGAGATTCTCTTTCTCCGTCTCTAAACTTTTCATTATTGAACTAAAACTAACTCTAAGATAACGGTTATTGACTCACTTAAAATATTCTCTGGCCATCTATCAGCAATGACCAATTTTCCCTTCAAAACTTCCAACGCTTCTGTACATTGCATTATTTTTTTGGTATAAATATATTATTTAAGTGTCTCAATTATATATTACCTTTTTTTTTTTTTACAAACAAATAGTCGCTTGTTTTCCACTTGTCCCGAACAGCACCGTTTGAGAACAATTTTTTTTTTATATATTTATACAAACACACATCTTATTAAGTTTAAACAATATACTGCCTTTAGTGTTGATCACAGTAATATAATATACTGACAACTTCTTCTTTATAAAGCGCCTTTTTGTCTGGTGTTATATAACCGCGTGTAAGGTCAAGAAAATGTGTTGTTATGTTAGGTAATACTACAAAAATCAATAGCCCATGCTTTACCGGTTATTTAAAATATTTTTTAGCAGTGTCTGTACATATATATATATATATATATATATTTATTGAATTCAAACTGACAATTTGTTGATAGCACACACAATCAAGTTTGATCGCATTCCAATCGATTCAGCAAACTAGATTTGATTTTTGTTTTTTTCATTTAAAAAAATTCAATTAAACTATACTGAACTTCGACTGTACTATGATGTGTACATTTAAATTGTTATTTTCAGTCACAGTACCTATATGAACGCTGATTGCTTAATTTATTATTGAACCATTAAAACATTTTATCATATTACCTACCTATACTATACTACCACACAACATTATGGCCGCTGCGAACAACGATATTTTTTAATAGGAAATTACACATTATTATTCTTAAGATTACTAATAATGCCGATATTATTATTGTAAATTTAGCGATTAGCATATTTATATGTACAGTCCATTATAAGGCAATCAAGCTTGTTCGATAACAACAATTAAGAATTGAATTTTAATACAACCGAAAATAAAATTTGATATTATAATAATAATATGGGAGTTTGGTCGATCAATGATTTTGCGCATCGTACAACGGCGAAAACAATAATAATTTAAAAGAATTAATGCGTTTTTAATTACCCATTAAAGTCTTGTACTTATCTGTTAGGTAAAATCGTCCATTAACATTGGAAACTAAGTACAATAAAATGGAGCAAAACAAATTAATAATTACATTCTATTGATCAATCATCTACAGTACAAGTTGTACAATTTTAAATACACCTGATTACGTGTAAATGTGTAATTTATAAGTGTTAAGAACTTGTTTTCTTTGTTAATTTTAGACACCCGAAACCCACGCTGCAGGGGCATACAATTATAGTTGTACTTGAAATATATATTCACAAAACCAGAAATAAAAAGCGTTTAAGATTTTTTTTTGTTTTTTAAATTATCAAGTTGTAAATATTCTAGAATAATATCGGTATTAACATATTATAGAATGCCGGAAATCTAACAACTATTGTCAATTATCTTTAACATGTTCTTTAACCACAGTACGGCCCACAGGTTTGAAAATTTTTTTAAACGCTTCCAAATTCTTAGGAGGAAATGTTTGACTAATAAAAATTAGTGGCTATTCGCCTACTTTGTTAATAATATTATTGTTTTTCAACTTCTAAGTGTACTTATAAGCGGTTTGAGGTTTTATCGTTAGCTAAGTTCTGCTATGAACAGACCCGAAAATAAATGTTTTAAACAAAATGCCTGACTAAAAAAATTGTACATATGGCTCATTTTGTTTTTTAATTAAAATATTTTTGCATAATAATCGGTGAGAGTAAGAGGTTTTAAATCTAATTTCGCACAGTTTTTATAATTAACAACAACGGGTTTTTACTAAAATTTCTTTTTAATTTTCATACATATTAATGCTCACGATTGAAAACCCGAATATATTCGTTCTATTCATTCCTGTAAATATTGGTGAATGTTTTTTTTGCGAATTTAAAAAAAAATACAATGACAAGAGTGTTGCGAATTGTGACTCAACACGAACAAACTGAGTCCGATACAACACTAATTGTGGTTGGTGTTCATGAAAACTTTATGGTGTTAATAAAATTTACTCTGGGCAAGGTTGGAGGTCGTCATAATAATATCAAAAAAAAAAAATTAAATAAAAAATTTCATGATGGACGAAATATACACACAAACAAATAACTAGCAATTATAAAATATGTATAATTACTACATACCGTCGGGTATCTTATAATTACAAATGGTAGTGCCGAGGAGCTAATCTAAATCAGGCTAGTGAATAATGTATTTTAGGTCAGAAACATAAACTCAATATTTTGTATTTAAATTAAAAAGAAAAATATTTATAAAAAAATGTCTAGATACTCGAAAAATTATCAAACATACAACAGGTTTTGCAGCTTGCTCCTATCAAGGATCAATAATTATTCTAATAACAAGTACCTTATCTGATATACCCCCTTATCAATATCCCTTATCGCCTGATTTCCTCTACTTTTGCTTTTTAAGCACTAATTTGATCACTACCATTAATTCTATATCTTGTGCTCCCAATCAGTCACCATTCTTACTTTATAACTATCTTGTTAACTTGTCTACCATTATAAATAACGGTTCCAATAAGTAATAACTATTTATTTATTCGATATAACGCCTCGAGGGTATAAAGAGTACAGCAAAACTAGAACTCTTGTTAGTTAACATATCAAGTTTATACTAATACACCACTTTTAAGAAGAAATGTCAAGTTAATTAATAAGTAAAAAATATCTACCTCTGGTCATATCAATAGTTATACACATCATCAGTTGTATATATCATGTCACACACAAGAATGACGAAAACATTGGACTTTAAATTCTCAAAATAACTCAACGATGGTGTATTTATTTTCTTAACGGACCTGCCCTAACCTAGACGCGGTTATTACTAACTTTGATGGATTTTCTTCACACAAGCTAATTTGCTTATTGGACTGCATAATACCGGAGTACAACAACATTTTTGGCAGTCAACTCACAATAATAATTACTCATATATATAATATGTAAGTTGATAACATTTTTATAGGCAAATTACACGGTTCGTTTCGACAAAGACAACATACTAAAGAAAAACCCACGTGTTTTATTATAATTATTGGTATGGACTGTCGTTAGTGTGTTGGCTAAACGATTCTCAAAGAGATATGACGTGCCTTCGGTGTAAATTACATGTTATAGTGTTACCCATCAGTGTATTATTAACATAAATTCACATGATTTATAGCATTTTAACCGACCCGTTTGAGTTGTATAGT